CACCTCAATCAACACAATTATCGGATTAGTCATATAAATAACAAAAATATCCTTATGATTTGAAACATTTCTAAATGATAAAAATATTTTTTTTTTCTTTTAAAATATAGTTTTAATTTAAATAAAACAGATAAGAGGCATTATTGTGGGAATCGATCCCATTACATCCAGACTGATGAAACAAGGACACAAGGATTCCAACCCTTAATTGAAAAAATATAGTAACAATTTTTCAGACAGAAATCAATCCAGGAAAACATCAAATCATACTAATCTGAAAAAACGAAATTTTTAAGGTACAAACAAATTTTTACTGAGAGAATCTCAGTGTTAAACTTAAACCAAATATTTCATATGTCCTTCAAGTAGCACTTATACGCACAAACCAAAACCGTTGAACATATTTTTCTGAATTTAGAATAACAAAAAAATTAAAATAGTTTTCTAAGAGAGTTAATGTAATCTATATTTCTTCTAATTTTTTTGTACCAACCTTTAAGTATAAATTTGTGATTTAAAAAAGGTTTGACAAAATACAAACTTTTTATATTTTTTTATACAATAGAATCTAAAAATGTTAAGGATAACCACATGAGACTTATTTGCTTTCTGTTTTATAAAGTGAAAATTCAAATATTGGTTTTGTTTACATAATGATGGTATAATGGTTATTCTTGTACAAATTATTCAACACCACCGTTAAAATTAAATTTAAATAAACTTTTTTGACTTGTTTTTACCCAATGGTTGTGGTAGCAGTTTTGTTCGTTCTCAGCTCAGTTGCTGATGATGATAAAAATGCTTTTAAAAGGCAAAAACGTAATAAGATAAGAACTTTTAACAAACCACACCGATGTAAACAAACAAACAAACAAAATTACAGTAGAAGTAAAAGACGACGAAAAAATTAAATTATAATAAATCTAAAGTGAAGTAAACACTAATATGAAATGAGTTATTAAAAATGCCAGAAGGCTTCTGCAATGCTCTCATTCTCACTTGTTATACAAGCGCCTACACGTTTAAAGCAAAAATGGTTAACAACGACATGCAAGTACTCTATATGAATCACTAACACGTATACAACTAATTGAGGAAAAATAATCACTTCCCTGTAAGAGGACACATTAAAAAGTAATGTTATACGTTACATAAAGTATGTATTAGGTTTGCTTTGGGTTTGCCATGCTTGGGATTTTGAATAAATTGTTGAATGCAGAGTGTTTAAAATTCGTCATTTATATTAATTCAATTAAATATTGTTTAGTTTTTATTTTGTATTAAATAAACAATTTAATGTACAAGCATTTGCGGTAATTATTTAAAAAAAGGCACAAACAACAAAGAGAGAAATTTGAAACAATTCTAAATAGAAGAATATTATAAAAATACAATGAACTACCGACAGACGGACGCTACAGTTTTAAAATGTGCACGAGCAGTAGAATTTAAAGACCAACAAAAGCATTTATCAATTCAGAGTTTTAATAGTAGACCGACAGTCTGTCTTTCAGTCCTAAAATGTATGTATATACCCGTGGAAGATGAGAGACAGACAAACAAACAGTTAAACTATTTAGAACATAAATTTTGCGTTTATATGCTTTGTTTTATTTATTTTATTTTCTTCAGCATTGTTGATGGGGGTACCAAGATACAGTCAAGGACAAACGTGTTCATACACCTCATATACATAATCTCGCAAGATGTGTAATAAAATTATATTCTTTATGTAAATAAATTTGTAACACAAACAAAACGCTTAATTAACAATTATTTAAAATAATAGATCTTATTAATAAAATAAATGGAAGTTCTGTTAAGGATAGGGTTGCCAGCTACATTTTTACTAAAACTACTCATTGTTTTAAATTTTTAAATATTTTTAACAAGATTTTATAATTTATTTATAGAAATATAGACAAATTCCCAATGTACGAGACCTCCGAATGCAATTCATATCATAAGTATACTTAACGTGGCCTTTACACGGCTCCTTCCAAATAGTTATAGAAGATCCAAATAGAACTATTTACTTCAAATTTTTATCATTAAGTTGAACATTAATGACTGTAAAAAAAACAATAGAATACAATTTTATTCCCTTTTTTATTTACCTACATACATTAAGTGATGATCATTAGCATTTAAAATTATTTAACTACAAAATGGTATTGCAATTTTCATTACAAATCTATCTTAAACTCTTAAATAGTTACCAGAATGTTTGTTGGGATATCTGAAAGTTTGTAAAAGAGTACGTACGTGGGTATATTAATATGAAGTTATTTTTGTTGTTGATCTGTTTGTTACTTTGTTGTTATTAAGCTATCAGCTGATTTTTTTATATTTGTTTCTTCTTCGTAGTTAACGTCAATCTGACACATTCTCTGACTTTGCTTAAGTTTATTTGTATTTGATCATTGTTTATTCTAAATTATATGTTTTTTATTATATTAATTGTTATTGTTGGATTAGTTAAAATATATAAAATAACTTTACCTGCCAATTGAGTTGTTGTTATTGTTGCACTTGTAAGAAAAGCACGAATGTTAAACGATTTGAACGTGAGTAACTAATTGAATAATTTTGTATACATTTTATAAAAATTTATGTTTTTATCGTTAAGTCATTTTTCTATTTTTTATATTCACTATTTTTATATATTTTGTATTTCTTAATAATTTAAGATTTTATTAAGAAAATGGGGAGCAGGCTATATCTATTTTATGTTAAAAAGAGAAAATATAGAGATTATTAAAATACAAGTTACTATAATTTGGAGTAGTGTCATCGTATGTACTAAATTACAATTGGAACAAAAAGCTTCAAACTGTTAAAGAATTCTTTTTAGTATAGAGTTCTATTTAATACTCCTAGAAAATCATACTTTTAAGAAAAACACTTTTCAACAAGTTAGAGGGTAGTTGAATCTTTTATGGAACAAGATAGTTAGTACATTTTTGGCTATATAGTCGAATACAGTCGACTTTAAAGCCCATAAAACTATCTGTATTTAAGGCTGTGGTGTAAATATTAAGGAATCAGAATACAGTGCGATGTCCGTTGGATTAAAAACATTTTTCAGTTGTCAAAGAACCATTCGAGTGTCTCGATTTGTTATAGACATAAAGGTTGAATGAACCTACCAACCTATGAACCTACCTATTTTCAAAAATATTTGACCAATTAAAATTTATTTATTATTATTATTTTCTGCTTTAATTTTGGTTATTAGTTTATCTTTGAAAAAATGGCGTCGGAGAAAACTTATTACATAATAAGCATTTTTATAATAAAGGATACATGTTAAATTTTAGTTTAATTGCGATATAAGTACATATGTTTTTAAGCAATTTATTGATAAAAAACTAAAATTAACTAAAGATTTTGGCATAAATATGGGCTGATCCTTATAAACTTTGTCAAATATTTATGGAGGTTAAGGCGAAATAATGGACCGATTTTAAAATGAGTAGAGTGGATCGGTATACTTTAAGACTTTAATATTTTTGTGCGTTGCAAACATCAGCACAAACGCATAATTAAAGTGTTTTTAAACGTTTGATAGCAAAGAAACGTTAAATTATATATTCCATAATAGAAAGAATTATTAAAAGAAATGAAGTAAATTTTTTCTAGATTATTGAAAACAATTATCCAAAAAAGTATCTGTTTACGCCAGCAATTTGTTTTTGTTGAGTTAAATAAAAAATGTTTTTGAAAGTTTTAAAATCAATAGTGGTAAAATTAAAAAATTATACCATTTCTACGATTTCATACTATAAACTCGTTAATTATATCAGACCTAGTTAGTTGTCATTAGAAAGAAACACAATTAAATGATCTTTGTCTTAAAAGAAAGCAATCTCTCAAGTTGACCAAAATTACGTCCAATAGAAAAATATTGGTCAATTATAAAAGGATCTTATAAGTATAGCAGTGCCAACTTAAGAATATCATATCTAAATGGAATTTAGCACCCACAAAAGTCTCGGGCAACATAAATTAATCTCTGCATTCATTTTATACATTTGATTGGAATAAAATTACGAAATAAATCCATTTTAGTTTAGAAGATATGTATCAACAATAAACGATTTCTGGAATTTGGCTTTACTCCCTCTGATCTCATTATTATTTGCACCGAAGCTTTTCCTGACATTAGGATATACAACTATATACGAGTATTGTGCACAAGTTCTCCGTCATATCTTCGGGCATGTCCCCAATACTCGTATGTATATTTTTACACAACAATCGTCTTCCATAAAGTCGATTGGTCACAATCAACAAGAATTATAGGGAGAATTCAGCCGTCCTTTCTCTTCGTTGTTTTTAGATGACGGACAAAGGGACATTTTGTTATATTCCTTGCTTCTTAGAATATTTCAAGTACCAAGAATATAACAGTGGTTCTGCGAGTAATATTTTGATGTACCCAATAAATACCACCATAAACATTTTCGTTATGTAAGTATACTTATGTAAATACCTATGTACGTATGTATGTATGTGGAGTGTGGTGGAATATATAAAACAACTCATTCATTCCACTTGGTTGGTTTTCACTTGTAATCACAAATATACTTATGTAAATAAGTATGTCATTCCGTCTGAAACAAGATAATTTTTATACTAAAATGTCGGGAATTCAAAAATGTTTTCATTCTTAAAATATAGTTTATAAATGTAATTTTGATCAAATCTTTTTCATTTGATTTGTCTTTACCAGAATATTAGTGGTTCAACGCAATAATCTCAATTATAGTAAAAAAGGAACTTGTATAAATAATTAAATGGAAATGAACGGAATATAAATTGCTATTGCTCCTGATATTTTACCAAATACATACATATGTATGTACATATAATGGCTGTTTATAAACATTGTGGAATATTATTTCATCTTTTATTATGCAATTCGCGTGTAATAAACTATTTCTACTAATATCAATAAAATAAATTAGTATAACGGTATTATATGCTTAAAAACTTACCGCTGAAAATATCTGGTTTAAGTGAATACTGTAGTTAAATAAACAGTTTAAGTTTATTAAAAACTAGTGCAAACAATTCCACCACAAATTTGCAACACTGTTGCCGCCTAAAGAGAGGATTGAGAGATTTCGGACATGAATATGTATATACAAACTGTATGCACAAAAAATATTTATTTAGTGGGGTCTGCAGCTTATCGCCTCAATTGTAAATTAGTTGTTAGATCAACAATACAGCTTGTTGTTTATTGAAGATTTTTTTAATACCAAGATTATCTATATTAATTTTTTTCCTTTACTGATATTTGAATTATTACGAATTTTTTGTTGTTTTTTATTTCGTTTTTGCCCTAGAGGGTATGTATAATACATTTAATATTTATTTATTAAATTTTCTTTATATTTATAATGTATATGTATATACAACAACAGCACTTTTAATTTTTCTTTTCACTTGTATTGTATTTTTATTCTATTAATAATATTTTTCATAATAATTTTGCAACCATATCACATCAATCTTTAAACTTTAAGAAAAATAAAAGAAAATTTTGCATCTATAGACAAAAAAATAGAAGAGGAAAAAAGAAGAACACTTCCACCAGATGATTTTTTACTTTTTTGCACTTTAATTGTGAGTTTAGAAAAATAATGTTGATGATGCACACACACGTACTTATATTTTTATTATTCAATGGGGGATTTGTTTTTTTTTTTTTTTTTTAATTTTTTGCTTTTGTTTTATTTTAGTTTTTGTGTATTTAATTGTATATCATTTTGTCTATATTCACAAAAAAACAACACTTCCACGGGAATGACTGACAGACACACTAGTAAAGCGACTACAACGATTCGGTCTTTAACATGCGCGAACACAACACATCTCGATGAGATACAAATTCACATTGATTAGTGAGTGCAAGAAAAATTAAAATGCTAAAAAGTATTTCTTTAGGTTTTTGTTTCCCCTTAAATTCGTACAATCGTTCTTTATAAACAACAACAACAAATAAATTTCTGGAGAATTAAAGTTCTCTATTAGCTTTACACTAAATTAAATACAACTCTGGTAGTGTAAAAACGCCTTCAATTAAAGCCAAGGCGAATTTACACAAGGTGATAGCATTTTGCAAATTACAAAATTACCATGTATTTTGTTGTTACATTTGGTACTCCCAGATGTCAAAAACAACTATAAAGACGAATTTATTTAGTCAAAAATGTTAATGAAATACCATCGAACTAATGATTATTTTAAAATGTTTTGCTTAATTTATTAAGATTCAATAGAAAAAACTTAACGGTTTGGGCCTGTTAGGAAATGCATCACTGATTTAATATTTGATTTACTTTATTGTTTCAAATAACTCATTCATCTATGGTAGTTAGAATAAAATAAATATCTCTTTTCTATCAATAATATGGAATGACAAAAAATGGTTCGCACAATTGCTCGCAAATTTTAGAAGCTTAATTTTGCGTATCTCTCTTCTCTTATAAAATTGTATTTTGGGACGGTAATGAATGTCTCAGATTACTTCTGTTTATCTTACACACTTTATAAAATGTAAATCGGATATTTTTGAAAAATATAACAATTTTTGACTGACAGCTGAATGTACGAATCAAGTGAAACAATATATTAGCTGAATGTACACACCTTACTAAATTCGCCATGACTTACTTCAAAGCTTTATTAAATGTGTTATACACGTAAGTAGATTTAATATATTCGGAACAGCCTGAAAGTATGTTCGCATTTATATGAAAGAATTTATAGTGACCTCTGTTAGGCAATAGTAAAATAACACTGTTTTATCGAATTGAACTGCATTATCGACCAAATAAGTCAGATAACAAGGTGTGTGTCAACGATGAGTTAGCAATGTTAACTCGACAGTGTTTTGAACAATTCGATTTATTAAATTCATATTTTGGTTCTTGAAGTTCACGCCAGGTGGGTAAGGCAAAAGGTTTTAATCGAAGTTAAACAAATTCAAAATCATAATGTAAGCAGCGGCTAACAGATGGAGTTACATATGTATTTAAAAAAATTTAATCTTAAAAATGTAATATTTTCATAAAAATTTTAACAATTTGTTGCTATAGTTTTAATTTTATAAATTTATTTCTTTGAAAATTATAAACTAATTATAAGTTTGTCATTCCGTTTGTATTTTCTACAATAAATTTCGTGTCAAGTGACCCAATTTAAAAAATCGATTTGGATAAAAATTGCATCGGTCAAGAACTGTCGAGGTTAATGGGGCTCAAAGTTTGACATAATTTTTATTTTTTTAAAAAATTTTAGGTTTTTTATTTCAAAATGGACCTTTTTTCTTAAAAGAAAGCATATATAATTTATTAACATTAGTACCATAATGAAAGCCTACATTTGACCAGTCTTATAAAGCCCATTTCAGTAAATTAGTTTTTCATCAATAAATTGAGGTAAAATTCACTTTTATCTATGCAATTTAGATAATTTTTTAAAAACACCATTAAAACTGTTTGTATTGGACACAATCGCTAAAACTCATTAAAAGTAATTCAAATTCTATTACTTTTACTGTGCTACCAAAAAGGTAAACAAGTTAACACCGCACAAAATGATGAGGCGCTGAACAAAAACACACACGTACACGTAAATATGCTAATACAATGGCTATGAACCACTAAACTTTCACAATTTTATTCGCATCTAAAACCAACATTTCGAACAACAGAAATTATTTACAGCTGTTTTGACAAAAGTAGTCGTTAAGGATTTGAAGATGTATTTGCAGGATATGGCATTCATAACCGTCAACAACTAATTAAGTCAATTTAAATGAGTTCGCACATTTGGCGAAAAAGCAATTTAAAAAATGTGTGCCACAACAACCACCAACGTGCAACTCTAAGCCCGGTCGATCCGCATTATCCAAATTTATGATCAACTTATACTTTACAAACTTCAAATAATGTTGCAAGGATATGTGGTGATGATGAGTTGAGTACAAGACACAAGACTGATTATAAAAATGTTTAAATGTAAAACAGATAAACGACCACAGAAAGTAAAAACAATCAGCAGAGTATTTGAACGTGATGGACAGTAAAAGAGACAAGTTTAAACACACATGTTTAAACTACAAGACAACAACGAGTATTTACTAAAGCCAAAAACTTAAGGTGTTAATTTTTATACCCTTCACCTTTGTGAAAATGGTAGATATAAGTTTGTCGCTCCGTTTGTAATTTATACAATAAAATTTTTGGGATCCTATAAAGCTTATACATGTATTGCGAATTTTTATAGAGACCGAAGTCGTTTTGTTGATAACAATCTTCTGAAGGATCCAGATTCCTTCGAGATACAATATTTCAAATAGATATGCTTTCGAGAAGTTTTCTATTTAAAATCAGCAAAATCGGTCCATAAACGGAGATATGTATGTATAAGCAGAAAAAAACTTGATTTTTTACTTTATTATTTTTTATAGTTTTTCAATAAAGAAATATTTTTTTTAATCAGTTCTTTGATCAATGTTTTTGTTCGAATTTGTCAACCTTATGAGCTTATGAGTATGTTATTATATGTTTATTAATTTTGAATTTATTGGTAATTTTTTTAAGAAGTTGTTTCGGAACTATGGAAGCTTTCGTGTAACGGATTCCAAAACATCTCTAGTTCCAAGGTTGTGTTTAAGAATCTGAAGTGGTTCTGTTCGATCTAGAACTAGTTTTTTTTAGAACAAATTCTAATTTTTCCTGAGATCTTTTTATTATAATGTGGGTAATTTCGTGTCAAATGACCCAACTCAAAAAACCGATTTGGATGAAATCTGCACCATGGTTAGTACTATTGGATAGTAGGCCAGACACAATTTTTCAGCTCTATCGGTCAAGAACTGCAGGACTTAGAGGGGGATCAAAGTTGGACTTTTTGGTCATACAGGGTTTTATTCAAATGAGTGTAACTTTTTACCTATTGGTCCTAGCAAAAATTGTCCAAAAGAGTTCAGATAGCTATTTCTTCTTTGTTTACAATTTTTCAATTTCAGATAGCTATTTATTCATTGTTTCCAAAAATGTCTTTTAATTTGTTTAAACTCCCTTTTTTTGCTCAGATGAAAGCTTATACAATTTCCTTTAAGGGCTTTATAGTCCCATAATGGGTTGCGAGTGGGATATCTATCAAAAAAAAGTTTTTTAACTCAAGAATAAGATTCCTTTAATATTTGGCACTTAATTTTCCCCTATTTTTTCAAAATGGAAGTTTTCGTTGTTTTTTTTTTTTTTTTTTTTTTTTTTGCTTTTAAAAGTTGGGTCACTTGACACGAATTTGCCCATATGTATAATATGGTGAAGTGTATATAAAATTCGGCATAGCTGATAAAAGCACTGTTACTTGTTTTTATAAAATTTCATTATCAGAAAACTGTAGGACGAGGACAAACTGAAGTGTATTAAAGGCTTATCTTGTTGCTTCCTTTTAAATAAATACAAGGCAGGTGTAATTTTATGGCTTATACATAATTGTAAGTACAAAAATATAAATTGCAATAAATGTAGTCAATATATTTTATGTCACTGCTAGTTTTAATATTATTCATTGCATTTGTATTGTTAAGCTTAAGTTTTTTTTTTTTTTGGAAATCAATTAAGTGTATTTTTTGAAATATCGTCTTTAAATCATGGAAATCCAACTCTTTTATTAATTTAACGGGGGCATTATAAATAACAAGTGACATTTCATATTTGCAAATGTCAAAAGTGTGCTGTGAAGTTCTGCTCTGTGCTGCGTTTTATGCTTTTGTTGCGATTATAAATTGCTGACACATTAACGCTTTGATGTTTAGGTGTTTTTTGTTTATAATTTTAACACTTTTTGTGTTACTGCAACTCTTAAACTAAGCAATATATATTTTGTTGTTTCGTTGATGTTTTTTTTACAATGCAACCTTTAAGTACTACGAGTTTAAATGCTTAATGCGAAGGGCAAGTTATAAGTTATTAGAGATTTTTAAACTTTATTTCATTAAGTAAAATATTACATATATGTTACATAAAAACTTGTAGTGTTTTTTGATTCAGTGCTTATTTCTAATATTTATATGATAATTACTTGGAAAGTAAGGGAAAGGGGATAAGATTTAATATGACCCCATGTCAAAACAATTGTCCAATTAACAACTGGTCTTTGTATTTTGTATCGTTTATTAAAATACAGAATTCCGATATCTGCTTGTGAACAGCCAATTGTATTGTAAAAAGCCAATTGTAAAAAAGAAAGAAAAACATCTTCAATATTTATAAAAACACAATTACATTGAAAAACTAAATTAATTATAGCACAAATATGAATTATTTTTCATTTTATTTCACTTTAAAGCACTTTCTTAAATGTTTACTTTATGAAATTATTCTTCTTCTGTTTTATCTTCTTTAAAATTGGGCATTCACATGAGAATGATAGTTTGACATTGAATACGAAATAAATAAACATATGAAAAACAAACGTAAAGTTATACGAGCTTTTTTAATTGAAATTACCAACAACATTTATACACAAGTGTAAACTAATACAAAAATACACAAGATACGTAGATACACGAGGCTTGTGAATTGGACAAATATAATTTCTTTGTACATAGTTACAATCCAAGCAAAACAATTTTAATAACAAAAAAATGTAGCCACTTATGAAAACTTTTATGGTGGCATCATTGAATGGGCACATTAAGTTTTGCACCGTACAATTTCGCATTTCACAGTCTATCAATTTGTATTTGCACGTCATCAGGATCAGTCGTCATAAATGTATACATATTATTGTATACCTTTCTGCTAATCATTTTACGGTTCCTTTTAGGCGATCTAAAAAATCTTCTGCTAAAAGAAGAATATTTTCTACGTCATTTAGTAATTCATTATTTTACTCCGACTAATGTCTTTGGCAATTTTTCATTAACTTTAACACGTAAAAAATC